AGATACTGTGAGAGAAAGAGGTTTCATGACTAAATGAGAAGTATAGGCAGGAGCACCAAGCTGCACATAAATAGTATAGCTACAACCTTCTTGGCTCTTTTGTCTTTTAAAAAAGAAAGGAAATAAGCTGCCTTTTCTAATCACTTTCCTCTGAAACTCCCCACCCTTTGCTGCTTTTATCTCCATAGGTGTTTTGTCCTATATTAATTTCAAAAGAGCAGGGATGTTGAACCTCAAGACCACCAGCTAGATTTGGCATGCCTGCAGTTCTGTCTGACCCTCTAGGTTTTCTCAGAAGGCACAGACCCTTCCTCCTGACCAATTTGATTTGGTGGTTTCCTGGCTTTTATGCAATTTCCACTCCTACAGAAAAAATAGGGACTGTGGTATAATAGGAAAGGTTTAACCACTGTCCACCCATGCTGTAGTCCTGGACTGGGGAAGCCATGCAGCTGTAGTGCTTGCAGCTTATATGTAGGCAAATAACATTTAACTTTGTCTTAACTTTGTTGGTAACAAAATAAAACATAGAAACATAGAAACAGAGTGAGTCAGAAGGGGTCTCCCGGGCCATCTAGTCTGTCTTTCGGCACCAGTCGGCTCGGCTCACGACGACACAACACAACAACAAAAATAGGGAGTGTCTTGTAGTACGGGACAGATTTATTGTAGCATAAATGTCCATGGACCAGAGTCCATCAGATGCAAGTAGTGTTATTCTAAGTTGGCAAATGTTTAATATACAGACATAGATGTATATTAAACATATATGTCTGTATATAATATCTGCATAATGCAGAACACGGAAAATGTAAGAAGTGGGACCAAAAGGCTATGAAATGCAAGGTGCAGCTGAAGGTCTGTGATGTTGTTATACAAATCTCAGGAGTATGGAAGATAAAACCAGTGACCATTTTCAACTGTTGTAAGGAGTGCTAACAAAGACTTCCCAGCTTTGATATAGCAAGAGGGAAAAATTCTCATAGTCCTTTAAAGTCTACATAAAAAGTAAATAGTTAGTAAATTTCAGTTCCTACTGGAGTAGAATATGAAGGTCAACACAAACCACAATGTACTTCACCCTGCCGCATTGTGCTGGGTGTTTGCACATTGTGTGTGGGTGTTCAGACAATCATGTGATATGCATTTGTTAGGGGAAGTCTAGATACTTAATGCAATCTCCATATATGAAAGTTTTCTGTTCCCCTCTCCACACCACAATCTATACTTCTATGTTTCTTGCTTCATCTCAAATTATTTAGACAGGTTAGATCACATGTTTGAAAGGATTAATATAAAGCCCTTCTATAATGAAGAGGATTAGGCAGTACTTTCCTGTACTGCGTTCTCCGTAGTTTAAACAAAAGCAAATCTTCTGATAATTACACTGCCAACCATACATTCAAACACTGTATCAACTACATTAGGCTATGTCCCCTACCTCACCATAGAACTTCTATTTCATGTCAACTCTTTGAGCCATTCCAGATGTACCCTAAATGTTCCTGCCACCCACATTTAGTGGCTGGATTCCTCAGTGTCAGATAGTATCTTGAATGCTCAATGCACTTACGTTTTCTGATTTAAAAGGCAGCCTGAGGGAATTTGGAGCCAGAAATTGTATGGCTGCCTCTGCTCTCTGCCCTTCCTCAATTTTATAATTAATTTTCCAAAAAGAAAGAAAAGATGGTATCTGATTTCAGTCTAGTTACTGATAGCAGGTAGGATATTTATAGCACAATTCTAGTCATGTCTACTCAGAAGTAACTCATTAGGGGTTGCTGTCAGAAGCCTTCACTCACCATGGCAGCATTGCCCCCCCGACATCCTTGCTGGCAGCTTGAGAGTAGACCCCTCAAACCACTGACAGGGATGTCCATGATCCATTTCTCCTTGCCAAGGGGGTACAGATCACCTCAGCAAGGAGAAGTAAGCATCCTTGCTGGTGGCTCAAGAAACACCTCTCAAGCCACCAGTGGGATCCTCGCAGCAGCGTTGCTGCACCAGTGTGGAACAGATCAGACACCACACCTGCTGCCCCCTCTGGAGCAGGAAGTGGGAGTGGCCAGTCAGCTCTCACATCCTCCCCATTGCGTGTCCTGCTCACATAATAAATAGCTCACGACCTGACAATGGGGTCAACTTCCAGCCTCCCCTGAGGCAACATGTAGGGGTCACCCGCTGTAGGGGGGCAACGGGCAGTCTCCTGCATGTTGATAGAATCACAGAATAGTGCAGTTAGAAGGGGCCAAAAAGGCCATCAGGTTTATTTCCAATGAGGCTGGATGTTTGACCTTCCTTCACTTAAGGGCACAAGCTGCATGTGCAGTGAGGACTCTTTGATATCCACAGTGAGCTGAAATCAGTACTTGTGACTGTCAAAAAGAGACTTGTTCCGTATCATGGTGTCCCAGCGGATACCACCTAAAGTATGGGTCTTCAAACTACGGCCTGCGGGCCGGATCCGGCCCACCATGCCCATTTATCCAGCCTGCCTCAGGTTTTGGACTTGCTGCGCATGTGCCCATGCCCGCTGCCACCGCCCACCTTGCCCTGCACACAGGGAGGCGGTGACTTGCTCATGTGGAGATTTTTTTGGACTCGGAGAAAACGATCTCTGAGCGAGCAAGCAGCTGCATCGCGCACCCGCCACTGCCTCGCTGTGTGCCCCGGCCCCACCTCACCTCGTCTCCCCTCGCCGTGCACTCCCGCCCCGCCTCACCTCCCCTTGCCATGTGCCCCTGCCCCCATCTCACCTCTCCTGCCCTCACCGTGCACTCCCGCCTCCACCTCGCCTAGCCTCCCCTCCCCTCACCGTGCCCCACCCCCGCTTCCTTGCTGACTCATGCCCACCACCGGCACCTTTCAACTGGCCCCCTGTTGAAATAGTTTGAGGACTCCTGACCTAAAGGAACAAGGGGAGGGAGTGTTTTGGGCTCATCATGGGTACTTTGTAGAACAACCCACACACCATGGCTTACTGCTAGGGTGAGTTGTCATGCCTTATGATCTCAGCCATTGACTCTAGTAGCAGTATATTGTCTTCCTTTAAGTCATACTTCAAAACCATTCATATCCAATACAAGTAATTTGGACATTGCAACTTAGACCAGGTACATACAGGACATTAGTGATATTTTCATTAGGCAAAGTATAATCCAAACACCCAGATCCTTTAGCTTGGAACTTCATGACTTGGTCATTTGCAATTTCTGTCTCTCCTGGAGCATTGCTAAAATGGTTATCAAAGAAATTATGATCACATGTGGAATGTGAACTGCCTCCACTATCCAAAAGCCAGATATTCCCCCTTGATTCTAATCCAGCCAGGTGGCTCCTCTACACTGTTAACAAAAAACTGCTTTGTTTGGCCTTGGAAAGACCATGCTTGTCATTTACCTTTGTGTTTCATAGACTTCATGATTCTTCTGTTTTAAAATGGATGAGTTCTCTCTGTAGAAGAATGAGGGGCATAATTGTTTGGGGTGGGGCAGTTCTAAGCAAAGTGCCCTTTTCTGTCACATTTGAACCAACAGTGTGATAGGCTTTACTCCTGCTTTGGGGCAAAGCTCCCTGAAAGGTAATTGGATCCTTTTGTTCTCTGGCCACTTAAGCACAGGACAATTAACCATCCAATGATATTCAAATTGCTCAACTTTCTAGGATAAAACTGTTATAAAAACAGCAAGTTTTCTCCAAGGCTTGTGACTAAGAAGCCTGATTTTTGCTCTTTTAGTTTAAAACCAGTCTTTCCTAATTCTTCAAAAATGTGGGTCATTTTACTAACATGCAAATTACACGCAGAAGGTTTTTCTAATTTCAATGTGCCAATGTCTTGGGCTAAGAGAAGTGGAAATTTCTTGCTATTGAATCAGTATATATTTTCAGTCTTATCTATTTTTTCCCTTGGCATTCTCTAGGTAAATAAACTGGTTTATATCAGAGACTTTGCAGTCCCATCGTGTTTATCCAATTTTCAGCTTCCATCTCATCATCAGGGCTTGAAATGGACAGTAAATATTTTGCCTGTTTTGCTGGAACAAAATCGATTTTTAGACAAAATCCGTGACTTCATATAGCTCATAGCCATTTTGTTCTATTTTTATCATTCAAACAACTGGTACATAGAGCAAAAAGAAAAATCTTCTCTTTTCAGCAAGCACACAGGGAAATTCCTTTAGTTTACATGAATGGTAAGTATGGTGACAAATTACCTGGATGTAAGAAAGCAGGAAGACCCCACCACCACCATACCACAACTGGGAGCATCTTCCTTGCTTAAATTTAAAACCTAAAAAAGAGGAACTCGATGCTTTAGCCTTTTGTGTTGAGAAAAGGTTTCTGCATCATTCTGTCACAAAAACAAAGCTATAAAACAAGCCAGCCAAAATTCAGCCTTTGCACTCTCTCTCTAAACACACATTCTTGTTTGACCCTGCAAGGAGTTGCAACCTCTGCATAATTTTTGGCTGTGTCTGGGCCCATAACCTGTTGGAAAAAAGGACTGCCATGCCATAGAGAGGTACACAGACTAACTTATGCAACAGTGGGACTGTTCACCATGTTGCCTATTAAGACTCAGGAAGGTTCTTTGGTATTAAAAGTAACTCAAATTAGTTAGGACAAAAAAGGTTGCATTTAACTCACAAAACAGGTAAGTTAGCTGTAGCTGTCTATTCATGCAAGTTAAGGTTAGGGTTAGAGTTCGGATTCAATGAACACATTGAAATAAACATGACTGGAAGGTAGCCAGGCACATGTGGCCTCATGGAAGGTCTGGGAAGAGAGAAAGGAAAACTTCCTCTAAAGAACATTCCCACATGTGGAAATAAATGGATGTAGTTAGGCAGATTAGGTCTCTTTTAGCCATTTCTGTCCCACTAACTGTGTGCAAAATTACGCAAAACAGAGCAATTATTTAGTAATTTTGCTTAGATTTGAACATAAACTGTAGCCAGGTCTTAGAATAAATACTTGGTGGTCTCTGTCTTGTGTTACAGAAAGAGGATCAAAGGGGCATCATGATCTCACGGAACTAATAGGGGTCCCACTTCCACCTTCTGTCTCTTTTATCACTGGCTATGGAGGATTTCCAGCATATAGCTTTGGACCAGATGCTAACATCGGCCGTCTTACAAGGACTCTGATCCCTCAGCCATTCTACAGAGATTTTGCCATCACTGTTACTGTCAAGCCAAACAGTGACCATGGAGGTGTATTGTTTGCCATAACTGATAGCTTTCAGAAGACAATTTACTTGGGACTCAGGCTATCACCTGTAGATGATAACACTCAGAGAATAATCATGTACTACACTGAGCCACGTTCTCATATATCCCGAGAGGCTGCTTCTTTTAAAGTCCCGGTGATGACGAACAAATGGAATCATTTTACGATTGCCATAGATGGCAACGACATTGTATTGTTCATGGACTGTGAGGAGTATCACCGAGTACAATTTCAGCGATCAGCTCAGGCATTGTCTTTTGAATATGGGTCAGGCATATTTATTGGGAATGCTGGAGCTACTGGATTGGAACGATTCACTGTAAGTATCATATGACAGGTCAGTGGATTATTTTGCAACTAGTACATCACAGCAGTTCAGAAAGAAATAGGTAGAATCCCTGGTCTGTAGCCACTAAGCTCGATTGTTGTTTTGGCAGGAATTAAAAAAGGAAGAAGCAAAACAGATACTTGAACCCAGGGAGCAAAGAAAGGGCACCAGGATGGTGCAGCAGGAAAGAATACAGAATTTTAAAACAGTATCAACCAAGATGCATATTTGTAAGACCATTCATTCCTCTGAACATGGGGAGGGCTCATGAAGATAGTCCATCTTTTAATGTTTTAAAAACAAATCTGAACCTTGGTTGATGGTAAGTAAATGTTGGCAGGGTTTGGTGGATCATGGATGGCATATCAATAATAAAACATTAGAAAATAAAAAATACAATTTAAAAATAGAATCATTAAAAAAACCAGTTTTTACTGGTCATGCCAGGCACCCACCATCTGGAAGTACCCAAAGTGGCTGAGCCAATGGGCATTAAATACCCTTTCAAAGCCCAGCCATCACAGAATACTTTCTGTTACATGCTGCTAGAAAAATGCATTTCCCTGTAGCTATTGTAAGAATTGCAACTAAGCTCAAAGGGAGGAACAGGGAGGTCTGAATGGGATGGCAAATGAGATCATCATCCCTACTAATCAAATAGCTGAAAAATGCTGACCCTGTGAGCCCTGCTGCACCACAGCTTAGCAAGTGATAGAGGAGCCAGGCAAATCATCATGAGCAAAATATGGCAGAACTCAGTGGGTCAATAGCAAGCCTTGTTTTATTGGGCAGAGTTTGACATTTATTGGTTTTTAAGATGCTGGTTCATGTTATTTCAAACTGCAATGTTAATGGTTTGTTACCAACCCCAGGGCTGGTAGCTGATCTCTTTCAGTCTTTCCTAATCAGGATAATGTATATTTTCAAGTCATAATAACCCATACCCAAGGGTTGAGTATGAGTTGAGCATGGGTTGTTCTTGAAACATAGGTTATCTTGTTGTCTGAACCCAGCTGAGATAACAAACTATGATGAACAACCCATGGTTCAACCCATGCTCCACTCTTGTGAATGGATTATCATGTTGTCTCAACCTGGTGTAGCAGGATAAGGCACAGTGTAAATTGGATGATCACCCCCTGTACATGGAAAACACTCACAGACCCATGGAAAGTCCAGTAACCTCTAATTTATGCCATTAAAATGAAACAAAACTAAACTCTTTACATATGTTTCCTAAGCATGATCAGGTTTATTAAATTATCCTTCTGCCAAGTTTTGTTTGGAGTTGAAAACCTCCTTGATTCCAACAGAAATAGGGAACTTGGCCAAACAGAAAAGCTGGAGCCAAATGAAAACAAAGAACATGAGTTTTGTTTTCTCTTATTAAATTAAACAGTAATTTCAATGGTTGTGAAAGAATTTTAGTGTCATGACTCTGAAAAGATAGATCATGACCAAATGGCACACCACAGAGGTCTTGTGAGCAGCAATACCAGAAAGTTCCCTAGGAAGTCAAATGACTTAGATCAGTAATGATGCTGGTTCCCAGCATCCTATTGCTTGAACAAATTTTCATAAAGTTTTGGAATCCAGGTACAGCAAAACACAGCATATTCCTTTCTTGAGAAAATGAGAACCTGGCTTTCCTAAACCACTTTTACCCTAGTTTGCCTCTATCAGCTAAGCAGATTTCCTTGCTATACAATATGGGTCAGTCATTGATTTTGGCTGTGACAGTTTTAAACCTTAATATTGGCTTGTGTGGTATTTTAGGCAGGTTCTCTGTTGTAACCATTGGCTGACACAAGATGAACACTGGTGTCAATGATTTTAGAAAGGCTTTACACAAATACAGTGGTACCTCCCCTCACAAATGCCTCAGTTCACAACCAAAATCAGGTAGTGAACCAAAATTTCATAAAAATGTAGACTCAGATCGCAAACTCTGCATTGGGTGGCGACTGCGATCATGGCCATCTCCCCGCCCCCCGCCCCCCGAGTGGGGAGATGACTGTGATCATGCTGGGGGCAGTGGGGGAAGATGGCTGAGATTGCGCCCGTCTTTCCTGCACGAGTGCACCTGTGATTGTGCCCATCTTTCCTGCAGGAGCGCAACTGTGATCAGTCATCTCCCCTCCAGCATGATTGTGCCCATCTCCCCCCCCCCCAAGTGCGCCCATGCTTGTGTCCATCTCCCCCCCCCTCCCCGTGCATCCTTGATCGTGCCTGTCTCTCCCCCACAGCGTGCCGGGATGACGGGCTCATGCAGGGATGACGGGCACGATTGTGGTCATACTGGGGGTGGGGGGCAGGGAGATGGCTGTGCTCATGCTCAGGGTGCGGGCGGGGGGGGAGATGGCCGTGATCTTTGTTGTTGTTTGTCACTTTGCTTCATATTTTTCTGATTAAAAAAGTTATAGAACGGAGTAACCTTATTTACATTGAACCTTATGGGGAAATTTAACTTGGTTCCTGACCAATTTGGGTCACAACCAGAGTCCTGGAACGGATTAAGTTTGTGAGCCAAGGTACCACTGTACATCCTATTAACAGGTGTTAGCTATAGTAGCTAAATAGAGTTTCCATGTTCAGAGGCAGAATATCACTGAAAAATTATTCATTATTCTGTTAAAATATTCTTATAACACTTAATAGATTGAAACTCCTGAGTAGTTCACATGAACCTGAACAGCTCACAATACCAGTTTCAGGAGAAAAATGAAAATTGTCTCCCTACTGTCAGAACATGCTTGTCTATTTCCTAGCAGTACCTGGCTGGTCATATGTGTGTGTGAGAGAGAGATTTTATCACAGGACTATCTGAAGTGGGCCACATGTGGCCTTCCAAAAGTTTAGACCCACAACTCCCAGCAATCCATCCCATTAGCTATGTTGGCTAGGGCTGATGGGAATTATAGGCCAGAACATCAGGAGGGCCACAACTTTCCCATTCCTGGATTAGATGGACCTTTGGCCTGATTGAGCATAGGTCGTTGTCGTTGTCGTCAGTGGCTGCTGCTCCTTCTCCTTCTACCTGATTGCATAGAATACAATAATACAGCTGAAATTGCTCAAGAAGATCATTGGGTCCAACCCCACTGTTTACCATTTAACAGAGCACAGTGGAAAAACTTTATCAGTCCTTCAGACTGCAGGTTTGGTTTATATATATGCATACAGGTATATATGGTTTATATATATGCATACTGAATAATTCTTCTACAAAACACTTCACTGCGTGTAGTAATCTAGAGCCTCAGGAAGAATGGTCCAGCTCTGTTCAATTTTATTTCCTTTTACTCAGCATGCGGACTCCAGGTTGCAAGGCTGGCCATGCCATAAGGCAGAGTAAAGCAGTGGATTCTGGGAGATGGCTGCTGGAGGAAAGATCAGTGTGTTGTGAGGCCTGCTCTGTGCCTCCTAAGGTAGCCTGCTGCTTTCAGATGCAGTGGAGCATGCTGTCTCATGATCAATGTTGAAGAGAACCATTTCTGCTCGTCCAGTCAAATTTGTACATAGAACCAGAATGGGAGCCATATGGTTCTTTACTTCTGGCCGCAGAATGCCTTGGGTCAGTCTGGCCAACTTGCAATCTTGGTGGTAGAGCTTGGCTCCCCTTTCATGTGTTATCTGTCTTCTCAGTCCTTAGATTTTATTATACTTATTATAATTATATAAATATATCCTGTCTTTTTTCTTACGAAGTGGCTTTCATAATTCTCCTTCTCCTGCTCTCACTCTTATCCCCACAAGAGCATCCCTGTGAGATAGGTTGGGCTGAGAGTATGTGACTGGCCCAAAATCACCCAGTCAGCTCCATGGTCCCAAGTTCCAGTCCCACACTGAGTACATGATGACATTATTTATTTCTTTCCTGCCTCTCCTACTGTCCTTTACAAGTATTCACATAGTTTAGATCCTTTTCAGAAAAAATAGTATGTGCAGATACACATGTTTATGACATGCTATTGTGGGATTCTTTTAAAAGGTCACCTTGACTTACTTGTCTCAACACTTTCAGGGCTCCATCCAGCAACTAACAATCAAACCTGACCCAAGAGCTGTCGAGGACCAATGTGAGGATGATGACCCATATGTGAGTACTCTGTGGCAATTACGACAAGAGTTTTAATGCAATACAAAGCTGGAACCCCAACCTCCTGCTCAGTGTTATTTAAAACTCCCAGTGCACTTTCCTTCAGTCGGAGGCCACAAACCTTGAATCTCACCTTCTGGAATGCATGAAAAAGCACTTGAGAAAGGATTCAACTTGGATTGCAAAATAGACTCTTTCTATTCTGTAGGAACTTGTTCCTGGGTGAACAAGTATGATATGGCATGGGAACTGAGAGTTATAAAAAGCAACAAAAAGAGGACACTGTGATCCTAACTGTATATCTATTCTTCCGAAATTATTGAAGATTTACATGGAACTGGGTTGGGAAAAAGGTTCATTTAGCACAAGTTGTCCCAGTGGGCAGTGCAATGCCTACTGGTGCACTCTGCATACAGAGATTTTCTGTATTACTGGTGCCATGGCCCTGAGAAGGTGTGTTTGCCTGAGATCTACAGGCCTTAGCACGAGTAGCCCAGAGGTGCCCCAAAATATCTTTGCTTTGATTTTTAGTTTTAAAACAGATGAGCCCATCAACAGAATACAGATTAAGATGAACCCAATATGGATACAGCAGCCCTTTTCTCATTCTTTTTCCTAGAATATGCTGGTGCTCTTTGAAAACTGAATGGGAAAAGGAAGAACATGCTTTTTGAGCATGCACAGTAACTCCTACCAAATCTTTCTTAGCTCTGAATTTTTCCCAAAGAAAATGCTGTATATCCACAAATCCTATACATGTGAATTTCCAGCTGATGACTCAAAGATTGGTCACCTAATATTTGCCATTACCTCTGATACATGGGAATTGTATGTACCAATATTGTTACCCAAACATGTAGACAATAACACAAATATAGAGTCAAAGTTTTCCTGTATCTGTTCAGTAATCAGGCAAGAAATCAGTGTGGAGAACAGACATGTGTTTATCCAGTTTGCTCAGTTTTGATATGCTGAACATACATGCCCAGTAGCGGTTGAATTGCATGACCTAAAATCTTAATTGTACTTGGTTCTCATAGACATCAGGAGAGAGCAGTGGTCATGAGAGCATTCAGGAACAGGAAGGTATCCCAGAAACACAGGAAGTCATTCGGCCCACACGAACTCCAGTAAGTACCTTACTCACTTTTAACTTGTGGATTCCTCCCAGTCAGCAAAATGATGTCTACTAGGTTTTGCTGTTTTATATATCCAGTGATGCTAATTAGTTCCATGTACTTAGTCAGCAAAGACAAGTCACTATGCTTAGATTTACTTCAGGGGTGGCCAACCTGCAGGCTGCATGTGGCCCCTGTAGCACTTGTGTGCAAGCCCTCCCACCCCCTGAAATTTGTGGGGGGGTGTGTATGTATGTTTGTATGTGTGTATGTATGTTTATACAATATACATGTGTGTGCTCGCTCTCTCTCTCACACCACACACACAAACCCAGAGATAGTGAGTGTGTATGCAAAGAAAATGGTATCACGAGTGGATTATAGAATGCCATCAAATTAGCTTCTTTGCAAACAAACTTCAACCCTGTTGGTCCTCCATGACAGTTTAAAACTTTTTAAAAATTCTGTTTGGTTTACTCCCCTCCCCTCTTGTTGGAACCTTCACACTCTGTGTGTGTGTCCAAGCTTGTACATGCATGCATGTGCAGCCAAGGGGTAGATAGAGGGGGGTGAAAGTAGCCCCTGGACCTCCCAAAGTTGCCTCCTCCTGGTCTTCATCATGAGTTTCATTTTATTTGCAAAAACTTCCTTTTGTAAAGCTCTTTCATGGTCTCATAAGGGTGGTTTCAGATTTCTAGAAAGTCCATTTATCTGGTGGATCAGACCAGTCCAGTGTCCTGCTTCCTCTAATCAGATGCCTCTGGGTAGCTCACTTAGGAAATGAATGTAAGCAATGGCATCCTTCTCCTACTGCTGTTCCCTTGGAACTGGTGGACACATTGCCTCTGATTAGAAAGGTACTATATAGGCATCTTCACTACTAGCCATTAACAGACTTGGGCCCCATGAAGCTAATACTATTTTAAAGTTATCTAATATCAATGGCCCTGATCCATACCATAATTGTAGCAGCAGCAGGTGATTGGTCTGGAGAGATATCTTGCCCTTAACATGTGGAAATCTCCCCATCCATGCCCACTGAAAGGGGGTGGGGGGTATATTACTACTAGTGTTGCTACTTGGAGTAATGTCTGAAAGCAGTCAATAAATTGTGTTGGATGATCATGTCCTCTCTACATAATCTACAATAGCTGTACTCAATCCCAAAGGCTTTAGAATGGAATTGAGCCAAGCATGTGAAACCCTACCCCCCTTCCAAAGAATGGCAAGTTTCACTAGTCCCTTCAAACTGCTTTTGATTCCTTCCAGATTCTTCAAATATTTTTGCCCTGGTAGGAAGCTCCAAAATGGCCTCAAAAATGTTAGGAAAAATTCAGCTGTAAAGATACACTATGCATTTATATAAAGAGATACATCTAGTATGGTGTGCTTATTTTTCCTAATTAAAATGTTGCACTCCACTCATTAATCTTTATGATTTTAGAGATACCTGCCTTGTATCATGTGTAGAAGAGTTATTTAAAGGAGCTGGTGGGGAGAGGCAGTAGTCTCAATTCTGTAAAGCACATTCTGGGCCTTATTTCATGTTTAGGTAAGGATTGAATTTTTGTACTTTGGTTACACTACAGCAGCATTTCCTAAACTGGTGTCTTCCAAGCTGTTTTGCACTTCAGTTCCAATGAGCCCCAGCCAGCATAGCCAATGTCCAGAATTCTATTTTATAGTACGTCAAATTGCAGAAAACTGGATTGGAGAGTCATCTCAGACTGAGTCTTGGGCTGGGTTCGCATGTCACAACAAGCAACCCTGTGTAGTTACCATGGTTGCAATCTTTTTACCTTGATGTGCCTGACAGACAGGCTCCAGGTAATCCTTCTCCCTCCTACCATTTCCCTCCCTCAGTTCTCCAGTCAGTATCCAAGGAGCCAGTGTAGGAAGAATGAAGACTCTCCTTGAGAGCCTTGATCTGGTCACATTTAGCTCGGTGGGGCTGTCAAGCAGTCTCTGCTGAAGTGCAGATGAGGGAGCTGATCAGGCACCCTCTCCTCCTGCTCCAGAGGGGACTGCTGGAGTAGGAGGAGGCCTGCTCAATCCTCGCTCAGGCAAAAAGGGGGAATCAGATGGAAGGGTGTCTGATTTTTAAAAAATTTAATATGGTATTAAAATATAGTTGCAGTGCCCGGCTGGGGATTCACCACTCAGCTGATTCTCCACATATCCCCCATTCTCGCTCCCATGTGTAAGCAAGGTGTCCCCAGTCCAGCACCCATCTGGGCATCTTTTTGGCAAGTGGCAGCAATGAAGGGGAGGCAGCACTGACCACCTTTTCTTAGTCTGGCTTGTCAGCCTAGCGGTCTCATTGCTGTCATTCTCCAGAAAGGTACCCAGATGAGTGCTGGGCTGGGGAACCCCCTCCAGCAAGCCAGAGCACAAGTGGAGGTCCGCAGGGGAATCATCTGAGGCATGCAGTCCCCACCAGGGTACCACCCCCAGCTGACCCTTGCCCTCTCCACTCACACACAAGAGGGCCATGGAGCAGAGGGTTCCTTGATTCTGTTCCTGGTATTTAAAAACTACATGTGCCACAGTTTATTTATTTATTTATTTATTTTTATTAAAACATTTCTATGCCGCCCCTTGCCGAAGCCTCGGGGCGGCTCACAGCACAGAATAAAATACAATAAAATACAAAAATAACAATATAAAACCAACAATATAAAATAAATAACAATATAAAAAAACAGTGAAATACCTCAACAGGGTTCTGATGACATGATAGACCAACAATGGTAAAAACCCACTGTGGTTTGTCACGTCATGTGACCCCACCCCTGGCCTCCCTTAAAACTAGCTCATAGTTCAATGACCTCCTATCAGATCCAGACCAAAATTCATGGAATGGAACTGAGAGGGAGGTGATTTCATAGTTTAGGAGCAAGGACTATCCCATGCAGTTGTTTCCATTCTGCACTCACTGTCTGACAACTGTTTTCTGAGCTTTAATCTGCTTCCAGACAAAGAGCAGTCTGTGAACCCTAGTTACAGCTACAGTAAGGCTCTTTGTGTGAGATAATCACCCCATGTTTTACACTATGTGGATTTCTGAGCCAAGCAACCATAAGCCGGAAAGCCTAGTAAAGCAATCCATTTTTCCAAAAGCAGTTAGAATTTAATGGGAAATACTTTCTTGGCTGAAAACAAGAATGCTTCATTTTTTTGTTTTTGTTTTTTTCCTAAACAAATATATTAAAGTAATGCCCAGGGACTTTAAAGCATATGTTGGGAAGAGAACTCCAGTGCCTCAAGTCTCCCAAGATTGATGTTGCCTTTAAAAAACCCTTAAAACCCTCTTGCCAGCTGTGAAGTGTCTAAATGCCAACAAGTCCAAATATTTATGTGCTGACTGAGGAGAATGGCCATTGGATTTCAGGGTAACCTTTCTTGCCAATTTCCAAATTGGACACACAACCAAGCTGAGGATAGTATAGGAGAACCACCACAGCCTCTTACAAATTAGTTTTGAAAAGCTGATGTTCACATGGGAGTGTTACAAATTTTGCCTGGGGGTAGACAAGGGCTGTATTTTTAATAACCCAGCTGCCAGTGAGGTCAAGCTGCTTATCAATGCCAAGCTTGCCTAGGACACTTTGCAAAGTGTTCCTACAAGAGAGAAACATCACTTCATCCCATATTTGGAAATAAGTTTCACTCAGAGTTTGATATCTCAGGAAATGTATGCCCACTTTCAGCTCAGTGCATCAAAGGAAACAATGGTGTCTGCTTTTTCAGGCAAGGGAGCTATCCCTCTCAAAGGAATGAATTCATTGTCACGGTCCTTAGAGGGGAAGGTCTCTGAGGCACTGGAACCATCAAAGGAGAAGGTTGTATTGGGGCAGCTGAAACCAGCTGGTTATCTCTGGCACTCAGCCAGGCATGTTGTATGAGACCAAGGAAGCTGAAGCAATTAAACAGGGCAGAGGAAGAAACCAAGGAGGGGAGTGCAGGACTGTCAGGCTGGACCAGCTCTTGGAGGTTCTTGGTTGAGTCACATCCCACATGAACTAGGAAGGGATGGAGGCAGCTGACAAGACATGCTAACCAATGGAGTGCTTCGCTGTATTGCCATTCTGATCCAATGCTTACCCAGTCTTCAGGTCTAGTGCTGAGGGTTTGCATGGTTGGCTACCCATTGAGGCTCACACACCAGCAGCAGCCCACTCTGCTAGGGCCTCCCTGACTTGTTCCTCCTCTGTCATTGTATCCTGCTTTGTTCATCTGCTTCTTGCTCTGGCCCATTTGTGCTATGGAAGAGAAGCAGTAGATACCCCTGCTCATTGTTTCTTTTCCTGACAAGCAACTAAGTGGTAGCAATTAGGAGGTGGAAGCAGGCAGCAATGCTTCTTGGGAAGGTAGACTCATTGTTCTGCTTTGCATATAACAGCAATCTCTAGTATGGGTTGTTGGACTGTGGGTTGTCATTATGGGTTCAAGTGCAACTAGGATTGGGATGACACCTGGTAGAATCTGCCCCTCTAGCATTTGTGAACTTCCTTTCATGCTGGGCTCCATACTAGAAAATGAGCCAAGTTGAGAGGAAGTCTGCAAATGCTTCTGGAGCGGTTTGCACAACTGGAGGGTTTGTGTGGAAAATCCACCAGATTCCCTGGTTTTGGCACTCCAGACTCTGCTTTGCTTTGCAGGAGCCCAGAGTCTGAGTTCCTGGTGAGTGTGCCCAGGGTTTGTGGATTGCTCACCAGGAATTAAGCCCCATACACTGTGTAAGCAACACCATTCATCCATGCTCGTCAGTGTCACCACCAGCAGCAGCAAGCAGGGAAACAGTTTGGCTGCCAAGAATGGTGGCTGGGGAAGGTTGTCAGTTGCACAGCTGGGGGTCTGTGAGCCTCTGCAGACTTCTCCTTTGCTTGGCTTGCTTTGCAGGACCAAGCCAAGTTTGTGAGGAAGTCTGAATTCTGGAGAGATGGATTCTGCTAGGGTTTCTTCCCACTCAAGTTAATGTTATGTACAGATGGGAGTGGGGCCCATTGATAGTGACCCAGTATGTATATAAGGCTAATCCATGCTTAACACCTCGCTTGTTGCCCTATTCAGGATTTGTCTGACAGATGATCAGCCAAACTGTGGTTTGTTTTCTTCATCCCCAGGTAGATGTATTTCCCTTCACCTTCCCCTGCTCCCTTCCTATATTACAAATGCTTTTGCAGCATTGCGGTACTAGTTAGGCTTGCACATTATGACAGCAACCCATGGGCAGCTAGTTCTGCCACCATACAAGGGCAGGGTGGTTCTGTGTAGAGCTTCTGACTACTTGAGAGAGTAAAATGGTGGCCACACTAGCACAGTGGCCCCTCCATGGGCATTTGCCTCAACTTGCTGATCTCTAGCATCACCTATGCTTCCAGGAGAGATGCTTGAGAACACTCATGGTCTGAATGGGTCTTCTGCTGTTGCTATGCATATGCTGCAGATGGATGTCAGACCCACACCATTTCACCCATGACTTAATATTTACTTTGATAATTATCTGCTTCTATTCCTGGAATATTAAATTAGATTAAAATAGGCTTTATATACTGCCTTTTCCTAAAGATTTTGTTCAATAGAGCTCAGAATATATGAAGCAAATAAACAGTCAGATCAATACATATAAAGTGATAAGCATTTCAAAATATAATAAACATCATCTTTGATGCTAGCTATGTTTTATATATAAACCTTCTATGATTTTTCATTAAATACTGCCTTCTTTCATGGGAAGAATGTTTTTATGCCATTATCATCTACCAAGAAATGAGCACTGGTCCACCTAGGACCAATGTATACAATTCTTTTTGAGGGGTGGGTGGGGGGAATATCTATAATTATTACTTAAAACCTAGGTGCAAACATGTGAGGGGTCTGGGAATGTCAGAGAAATCTACAACAAATTTCAAATGTCTGGATTTCTGGGAGTCTGACCAGCAGATTCCACAGTAGACTTGCTTTTTTCTGATTCACATGGATTCTGCAAACTTGCAAACTAGTTTTTCACTTCTAGGGGGAAATTCTGTTAATTTGCGAGTTTGCACATGTTATAATTTCTATTAATTAATATGAATTTACTAATGTGGATTAACATATATATTTGAATACACATTAGTGCCAATGTGTATTCATAAAATGAGGATGAAAATCTGGTTAAAATTGTTTCTGTTCAATGAGTGGATACTGCAACACAGTCAGTATCCATAGCCTTTCAACCTTGTGGTAATTTGTTCCAGCTCCATCTTTCTTTCTAGCATTTATGCCAGAATTCTCTCTGTGTGTATCACTTCTAGCTTTTATCACTGTCCACAGTTAACTGTTCTTGTCAAGTGATAAATAGAGGGCTAGTTTGCTGGCTGGGAGATTCTGGGAGCTCTAGTCCAACTCATCTTAGGGCACTAGATGGAGGAAAACTGATGTATCCTGCATGGGATAAGTGTTGGAACATGGTGAGTGTGAACTAAGACTTTTATGGACATGCAAGTTAGGCCCTGTGCAAGGGATACATACACTTCAGTATGTTTGTGCACAGTGGGCTGGTCAGGTAAGTAGGACCTACTTGCACAGAAGGGTACAGATATAAACCACATTAAGTGTACTCAGGTAGGACAATTGTCCTTGAGCTCAAGGCTGGCTTCCCTTCCTTGCCACATATTGGTCATACACAGGAAGCAGCCCCTTCTAATAGGCTGGCACTGCCACACTTTCCGTAGAAAGGAAGTTGAGTGGGAAGAGTAATGATGGAGAAGAGTGCAAGGAATTGCCATAATTAAATTGGAATGAGAAAAGAAGGTGGTCAGCAGAAGTAGTTTCAGTGCTGAAAATACTGCATGGTAGCAGGGCCATTTCTCATTTTTAGGGAAATGCAAAAATGGATAGTTGTCAGGGATGCAAAGAAATCCAGGACATTAAACATTTCTGAGGCAGGCAGCAGCACTACTACCTGGGAAAAGCTTGGTACATAGTCCAGATTACAGTGTTGTACCATTTTAAATTACAGTCTTTTCCATAGTTTGCTATGCACTGAAAAACTGAACCAGTCAGTTTGCTACCTTTGGGAATGTGTGCAATGAATGAGGGGCACTGGATCAGTTAAAGGCCCCATGAGCACATTTCATGCTCTTCAAGACAAATAGTAGTAGCATGGGAGGGTTTGTGTGCCCAAACCATACCTTGGCTGGAGCACCAAAATACCTTCAGGTGTCCCTGCATGGTAACAGTGGCTAGGCTTATCAATGTCTGTCTGCAAGAAGCAACAGCCAATTCTCTGCAAAGAATTAGGTAATATCAATAAGAAACAGTGTAGATTATTTATTTGCAAGCTACTTGGATCTGAACAATGAATGTCAACTTTTGAGACAGAACAAGGCTCTTTGTCTTATACAGTACCTCTCATGCCTAAGTCTTTTCCATGAGACAATGTCCAGATAATATTTGCTTTATATTCTTGCCTAGCAATTACCTGGGAATGTATCTGAAGAAGCAACAGCTGGACCAGTAGGAGCACCACCAACCATGTCTCCCCATTCTGAAGAAATGGATTTCTCAGGACACCATCTCTTGGAAGAAACAGTGGGCCCAACAAAACCTGAAGCAAAAGGCATTGCATATTTTAATATTTGCTTGTATGTTATTCTGGATAGAAACTTTATCTGCAGGCAATATTTAGCACATCTTTGAAGATGTGCTTCTTGGCACAATGAACTTGTTCTGGTAATAAACATGTTAGTTGACCTATACCTCTGTGTGTGTAGTGAGAATTTGATCAAATTTCTGAAAGTAAGACATTGGCTGTATCTAACAGTGGAAATAGGTGTAATCAAAAAACTTTCCCCATGGCCTGGCACACTGAACACTTGCCACTATGTGTAGTCCAATGCAATTGATATGGCCATGCTGTTTTAGTATCAAGGCCAAGAGACTAGTGTGGAGGAAGCCCCTGCCATGATCTCAGAGTGTAGCCTCAAAAAAGCCACTTGCGATAATGGCAGTTAGGCTAGTGATAGTTAAATATTGGAAACAGAATAGGGTTTTGTAAAGGCATGAATGGTATAATGAAATATGGAACATGGTAATTAATGATAAACTGATGACAGAAATAAAAATTAAAAGAGGGTTAATGAAAGCAAATAAATATAATGAAATTTAGGAAGATTTTGTAAAAACAGTACTTACAGAAGGCAAAGCCTGTAAACCCAGTCAAGATTATATGAACTTCTAGAGGGGATATGGAAATAAGTGAAGTATATATTATTTGTTATAGTATATGAATGGTAGTAGCATTGGTCTCCGGGGCGGTGGGGGCACTTTATTATTTAGTTTTATTATTGTGTTTTTGTTGTTGTGATGTATTTATGGTTTTTTTTTTGTCTTAAAAAAATAAAGAATGGGGGAGGGGGAAGAAAGCCACTTGCTCAGCCTCAGTTGCTCCACCTGCAATATGGGGCAATGGCCAACCTATCTATCTTACAGAGCTGGAAAAGGAATGTTTGAAATGCCCTGAATGCTCTGAAGTGCTATATAACTACGAATAGCGTTATTGCTACAAGTGTGTGCAGTGCATATCTCCTATTTATATAAGAACACAGGAGCCATACTGAGTCTATTTAGTCCCACATTCTGTTTGCACAGTGGCCAACCAAATGCACATGAGAAGTCTATATGCAGTGCATGAGTGCAAGAACACCTTCCCATCAGTATCCTCAGAAACCTATATGCACAGACATTGAGTTTTTCTACACAATGTTAATCTTATTTATGTATTGTTGCTTTCAGCAAAGAACTGAAATTAGACCTGTGCTCAAAGAGCTTTTCCCCCTTGCTGTTCTGCTCCATAACATCTGGGTGGTGTTGTGGTATGGTAGAATCACATATTTACATAAATGTGTAAATGCATTTTGTTTCACTTTCATAAATAATACTATATTTTCCTTACTCTGCAAACACCTGCAAAACTGGCCATCACAACTGTGAGTGAGAAATGTTGAATGCATAATAGAAACCTAAGGAAGAAAAGCCCAGGTCACCTCTGATGTTGCTACATGAGTCGGCTCTTGTAAATTCAAACTGTGGCTTCCTTTATGGGAACAGAACCATCTCATAGCCAGTCTTCTTCTTTTGCTTTTGGCTTTGCCTCTTACACTGGAGGGTATTATATAGCTATTAAGATTAATGACCCTATTATCCATGAATTTATCTAATCCCTTTCTAAAGTCATCCATATTTTAACAGTGTGTTGTGAGAAGTACTTCCTTCCGTGTGTTCAAAGCATATACATTATTTTACTTGTCCTTAATAACAGCATTATTAAAGAGGTCAGTATATAAATCCATATTACAAATGTGGGGGGTGTGATAAGGCTAGGAGAGGCTTCCCAGTTTGTAACTACTAAGCCACATAATTGCTGTGGAATTTAGCTGTCTCTTGCTCACTACTAGTAGCAGGACTGAGGATACTGCATAAGCCTGGGCACAGCTCTTTCGTTCACCGAACTCACCAATGAAACTGAAAGATTAAAACATATAAGGGATTAAAACACCAGTTCCTTGACTTCTCACCACTATATTCAGCTCTGAAATTTATTCTGTGCTATTATGACTGAATTCTAATCATTTTTGTAAAATAATTTTTCAAGGTTTGATCATTATTTTAATTAACCAATTTTTTAACAGTTGCTTTCAGTTTAAGAAGATTTGGTTTTCTCTTTTAGTATTTCTACTTATAGTCTTTGTTTTCTGTATTTCTTTCTTTTTTCTTATGGACCAATTAATGTCTTACTACCTATGTTCTTATGTGTAGTTCTTTACCCTAGTAAATGCAATTCTGTGTAGCCTTCCACATTTTATGTAGTTTTCAATTTCTATCGTCATTAGGTGCAACCACCACAGAAATCAGTCAACAGGAAAGTGAATCTACCACTGTATCTCAAGGAATATTAAAAACAGAACCTGAGCCTTATGATGGTATTCTGGAAGGTCCAAGCAGAGAAAAAGTAAGCACATAGTTTGATGTGTGAGGCAGGTTGAATTTCTGCACCTGTTTGCCTGAAAGTAAGCTGCACTAAATGAATAGGCATGCATAGGATTTCTCTGAAAATCCATTATGCTCAGAATCCTTACAGAGGGCCAGTGGAACTGGGGTTTAAGTCATCTTTTCAATAGAACATGATGTATTAGGGCTGGTCTGCACTCATAAATTATCCTATGCAGCTGTGTGTGTAGGTTCATAAATAAACTTAGAAAGGTTTCAAGGTGTTGTCTTCCAATTTTAATTGTGCTTTAAAGTGAAAAACAAAGGAAGCCTTCACTGCCCTATCCTAACCATGTTTATTCAGAATTATAACTCGCTTTGATTCTGTTGGCATTTAGTTCTGATTCTAAGCAGATATGCTTAGAATGATCTCCTTAACTGTGCATATTTTACCTTAAGGACCGAAAGGGTGAAAAGGGTCAAAAGGGAGAGGAAGGACCACCAGGGCCACCACAAAAAACTAGGATGGAAGAAGCACAACCTGGAACTATAGGGCCACCTGGACTTCCTGGGAAGGCTGGACTGGATGGAAAACCTGTGAGTCTTGCAAGCTTACTACGTAGGACTGTGCTAAATATTCTCTCATGTTGATATTTGCATTAGGAGTAGCATCATTAGATACAGCCATGCTGTCAAAAAAGTACCTTTCTGTACATTTGCATTGTTCTGGTGTTATTTGACATCCCTTTCTTCACCTTGCTTGCTACCTCTTCCATCTTTGCCCTTGCTTTCATTTCCTTACAATGTCACTGAATCCTATTGGCTCTGACAACCCATATGGTGGTGTTTTGGTGCCTTTGTGAGGTCACCTAATCAGAAATAATGGCTGTGATGGAAACATCATGTGAGTTGCCACAGACAATCAGATTAAATGGCACTGAGTAAACAGGGCTGAGGGAAAACTAGAAGTGAAATGGTACTAAGCACAGTATGATACTGTAAGATTTATTCACAGGTGCCAAAATATTGCTTCCTCATGTAAGGTGACTAACTTTCTGTTCCTTCTCCATCTTCCATCCTGTGCCTCAGTTCTATTTCCCTCCTTGCTACAAAAGCTCTGTTTCTTCCCCATCACCACCACTTTCTACAAGCCAAAGACAGAGAGCTGTTAGAAAAAAGTCTCTATTCTGTTTTGTTGGAATAGCAATAACCCACAGAGAAAGGCAAAAGAGGCAGAATGGGGAATTGTTAAATCATTCAGCCCATTTAATAAGCTTTGTAATTGTAGTCTGCCAGCATTGGCACAGCTATTATATATGAATGCAGTTCATCCCAAATTGCTGCATGTGCATCAAATATTTTGAAAATGGTGACCTTGGAAAGATCTGTGTCATGCAAAAAAGTTTGTGAGCTAGATATGCAAGGCTTGCATTTATTTCCAGACTAAATCTCCAAAACCTACTCTCCAGCCATCAATTTTAAAACAGGAACAGCATAATAAGGTCAAGGAGACAACACATAACAGATAAACATAAAACATCCAGTTTGCACATATCACTCTGTGTTTGGCAAAGGGGTATGCATGTGCACAAGCTGGTCTGCTCTCACGCTTGACTAAGTGAAGCATCATATGAACAGGCTTTGGTTATCATTAGCAAAATGTCAACCAGTGGAAATCTTGGAGACACAAATATTCTTAAGGAGCTAAATGTAGAAGATGGTGAGAATTCCCAGATCACTGACAGTAGATGCAGAAACAAGACAGCTAAGCAGTTTGGACATATTCTACAGTGGCAATGCCAACCCATAAACACAAGAGTAAGGGCGTACTAGCCAAAGAAAAGATCTAGTTGAAAGTATTTAAAAATGAAAAGACAAACTTTCAGAGCAGTTTTTTTCATAGCATTGTATAATAAGATCATGAAATAGATAGAAATATTGGAAGAGACAAGAAGAATTATTGGATGTACCAGCAACCATCAGTGATTTACTGTGGTAGGAGGATATGGAAGATGACCAAAGCAGAGAGATTATTTATGAAACTACACAAGAGAGATGTGTTCTCTTCTGTAAGCCAAATCTTGCTTGCTTCTTCATTGCTTTTCTAGCTTCTGATATAAGCAAATAAATGGAAGTCTAGAGGTACGCCCATGGGGGATTTTCTTAAAGTTTTCTATGCAACAGTTTCCTCTCCTGAAGCCCTTCAACCTGCTGTAAAATAACACAGATTGCCTTCTCTCATGTAGTAAACACTGGGCTTGTCTTGGGCATGTTTAGCAAATTATAATCAAAGCAGCACTTTAGACCTGTATTCCTGGCATGTGTAAGCTATAAAATGTACCCTGCTGTGCATCAGTATCTAAGCCTTAAACTGAATGCTCTAAGAGTGGATTTCCCCTTGCTTTTCTTCCTCCAAGATCCTCCATCCTCTACTTCTACTCAGGTAGGTGTTTCTCAACTCTCTAGACTAGAATGGGAGAGTTCATGGAGGAGACGCAGCAGGAAACTATTCCACTGGTGGATGACCAGGGTTTAATACAATGCAAAGCTGTCATTTGGAATTGGGTGCTCATTTGTTCTGAGAAAACCTTAAATGACAGGTGGGCCAATTTCAACTGTTTCAGGAAGAAATTCTAGTGTTAATTTAGGTTGCTGCTTTAGAATATTTAAAGGGCATTTTATTACCTGCTTCAGAATTCTTGGGAATTTGGAGCAGGTCCATCTTGTACAGATACCTCACCAAAACTTTAGGAACCCTTAGAATTTGGTTCATGTAGCCCAAGATTATATTTTAAGCTCAAAACAGAGCCTCCACCACCCTAACAAAAAAGACATAAAACAATGTATAGTGCTGTTGTGACACACCTTATTTTTTTAATTATTCCATCACAGCATAAGATGTTGTCTGGTGTTGCACTCTTATTGCACTCTTCCTAGGGGCTATTTGCTTTTCTAAAGGTTGTTTTTTGTTTCAGGGCACTCCTGGCAAAGATGGGTCACCAGTAAGTTTCCTTCTCATGTATATTGCTATCAAAATGCTCGGCAGCATAGGGGTGGGGGAGTTGTTTGAATTAGAACAAGGCCCTGGAATTTATTCATTTTTTTACATGCATATCTTACCTTGTTTCCTGCAAGGAGCCCATGGGGGCTTCCATAATCCTCCTCCTTCCCATTTTATCCTCACAATAACCCTGTGAGGTAGGATAGGCTGAGAATAAGTGACTGGCCTAAAGTCACCTAGTGTTTTTTGTGGCTGAGTGGGGACTAGAACCTGGATCTCTTCCATCTGAGTTCAACACTCTAACCACTATTCCACACTGACTCTATTTAACATTGCCACATGTATGTGCTGAAGTCAAGGTAAAGCAGCATTTCTGACAGTGGATGTAAGTCTATAGAAGAGGAGGTCCTCTGAATGTGTATGGTTTGGCAGTGTTTAAAGTCTCAGTTCAAACTACTTTTTTGACATGATGAGCCTCGATGTCAACATGTATTGAAGCATTTACAAAACTCATTCAACATGCCCAAATGCACTGAAAAGGTGCAAGTAGTGGGCATGCCCCCCCCCACCCCCAAGGCCTAGTTGAACCCATTGTCTTGTATTTCTCAGTATTATCTTCCTAGATGTATCCTTTATACTAGACATGGAAACTTGTTGCCTCAAAGGCCACATTGGCACACTGGAAACATGTCAGGGGCATTACAATCCCATTTCATACATGTGAACCACATTTATTCATGCACACAGCTATGCATTTTCAAATGATACTCACAGAGAATGATCTGGTAAAGGACTCTGGGCATCTTCCTTCACAGCTGCCTTGCTCTCTTTAATTCTCTGTGTATTTTTTTCCAGGTACAGAGTAAAGAAAGTGAGCTGACCACAACCATGGCTTGCATGCAATTCTGTGCATACAGAAATGGTCAGATATTGCCCTTTTCTCTGTACCTGAGGCCACTTTCTCATGCATGGAGAAAGCAGGTATTCAGCTCCAGAGAAAGAAAGCCATTTTCTTTCTCCATTGCCTGATCAGGGTGCCTTGCTCTGACGGATAGCACGCTATGGATGGACCTCAGCATCTAGGACTGGGAGGCCCTTAATCAAGCCTGTAGACTGGAGGCACTGTATTCCTGCTTTATAGGGGGTTCTGCTTCCTTACTGGAAACTAGCTTCCTTTCAGCTATTCATGGCTTAGATAAAGTAGTCTTTAACTGTTGGAAGAACAGTAGTATGCCTTCCCTTTTAGGGTAAACCAGGAACTTCAGGCTTACCAGGAGAACCCGGATTAAAAGGAGAACCTGGTCCTAAAGGAGAAAAGGTGGGTGCTGTTTTAATCTACAAGAAATAAATGCATCAGCTGTCATTACAATGATGGCCATACTAATTAATACTTTTTGAGAATGAAGGTGACTTCACACAGGATAGTGCTTCTGTCTACAAGGCATGCTCCTTGCATGTAGGCCAATCCTACATATTAAGTGCTGGGAAGCCACATTTACATGGCAATGATGTGAACATGCTGGAACATGCTTGTAGTGGCATGACAAAAGCAGAATTCAGTGGATGGGAATGTGCTCCTACATCTCAGTCAAATTTCACAGAAAGAAGATTTTTGCCATGTACCCAGATGGGTCTTTGATCAAGGCCTTAGTGTGGAGAACCTGGGCATTCAGGGAAGTTAATGAGGAGAACTGATAGCCTCCTTAGCCTCCCTGATCAAAACATAGTATAAAACAGTGACTGAAGATTTCTCCCTCCTCTGGTAGGCTACTATGTTTGTGTATGCTTTGTCCATCTGGGTGAAGGCACGTGATCTATCTTTTTATTTTGCCCTGTTCCTGAGAATCATTTCCTGATCAGTGCACATTTTCAGGGCCAGAAGCAACAAGCTTTAGGGACTTCTTACTATAGCTTATTGTTCATTCCAGCAATATTAGTTAATTAGCTAATTGACATTCCACCATGCTTAAAACAAAACCATAATAGGTAAAGAGAGATCTTAACAAAATGTGTGTTTATATCTATTAAAGTACAGCAAAGTGAACCACTGTTTGGAGCATGTGACTCCACTAGTATACTAGCTGCACTGATTGCTTGACACTTGACTGCTTGGTCAAGACTCTGAAAGCCTTAAATTGCCTGGTATCAGGATACCTAGTGGATTGTTTCTCCAGTATAATCCTCTAAAAGAGCCAAGAGAGGCCCTTCTGCATCTTGCATCACTGTCAGTACTATGCGTTGTGGAACTTCCTCCTTCAGGTCGTGGAGCACCCTGTTCAAAGAGATTTGTCTAACCCCCTCCATCTAGGCCTTCCAATATCATCCAGAGACATGCTTATTCCAGTAAGCCTAGATCTAATTGTCTGTCATTTTCTTTTTTCTCAGAGTATTTGTGTGTGTGTCTATCTGGAAATATCAATATTATTGACAGACAGAATATTTATGCAAAAACAAATGCCAAGCATCAACATTATCTAACATTCCCACAAGTATCCTTCAGAATAATTAGCTAGGATGTCACTACACGTTTTTTTTTTTTTTTAAGGACACAAAGTAAGTGCACTGTTTTAATGTTGTTGTCTCCAGTTTCTTCTGTTCCTAATTTTATGTGAGCTGCATCTGGTGCTTGACACTGAGTGAAAGGTGTAAGGTGGTTTTAAACATATCCACGAACAAACAGCATTATACTTGTGGAGTTGAAATCTTTCCACAAACTGTCTATGTGACAGAGATGCGGAGGAAGGTGGGGAGAGAAAGGAGATAAAATGTTTGAGTGGGAGACAGACAAACAAGCATGAAAGATAGAGATATGCAAAAAGGTGCAGGGAGAAAAAGAATGTGGAAAAGGGGGGCAAGAAAAACAGGTGACAGAAAGAGTTCAAGGAAAAGGGAGAGGGGACAGGGAAGGAGCTTAAAATATAGGAAAGAAGGTGTAGGTGTGGGAGACAGATAGGCAAGCAAGGACAAGGTAGCCAGATAAGAAGGAAATGGGCAATTAAGGGGTGTGCAATGAAATGGATGGGAAAGAGATTATCCCATGGATTGCTGGTAATAGGGGAAGTTGGTGACTCCTATGTAACTGTGGCTCCTCATCCATTGCAGGGATTCTTTCAAGCTTCCCAGGAGCAATCTAGCGTGCTTAGCTCCATCCCCAAAATAGGTTCACCAATGCATCACTACAGAGAAAGTCCCTTCCTTTGTAGTTGATCCTTCATATCTCTGATGATAGCCGGAGAAGGGCCTTGGGAAAAATGCTGAAAGAATAAGCAGGTGACATGGATACCGGCATGCATGTATTTATATCTCAAGCCATTTTGGGTTTTGAAAATAAGGACAAGCAAGTTGAATTGAACTTGGGCATTATTTATTTATTTAATTTCTATACTGCCCAACAACCAAAGTACTCCAGGTGGTCTGCAAAGCACATTAAAAAAGATAGATTGTATTAAGACATATTAAAACATCATTAAAAATACAAATTTTAAAACCACATATTAAACCAGTTAAAATGTATAATACAATAACATAGAAACATAGAAATAGAGCGAGTCAGAAGGGGCCTCCCGGGCCATCTTGTCTGACCCCCGGCTCCAGCCGGCTCCACTCATGACATGCCCACCATGTGCATGTCTAGCCTATCCTTGAACACCCTCACCGAAGAGGCCTCGACACCACCTCCTGGGGAAGCCCATTCCATACCCTCAGGGTCTTTTTAAAAGAAAATGAAAAAAGAAGAAACATATTCAGACCTGTTTAACAACTAGCAGGCTCCAGAATCTACTTGAATGCCCTGGTGAATACAAGAGGTTTTGTCCTGGAAGTGCTGAGCAGGCTTCAAGATGGCTCCTAGATGTATGTATTGTTATTTATTAAAAGCTTTTCGAACCTGTCCACCACTAGTGTATCAGGATGGTTTACAATAAAAATGAATGGAACAAAACAAAACACCACAGCATCCTACAGTTTGATATAATAAAATCCCAGTTAAAATCAATTAAACATTCAAATGATGGGAAAATAACGTATTTCTCCTGACACCAAAAAGAATATAACATCGGCACCAAGTAAACCTCTCTGGGGAGCATATTCCATAGTCAGGGCACCACCACAGAGAAGGCCCTCTGCTGGGTAGTCACCCCTTCTAATCTCCTTCAAGGAGGGCTCCCAAAGAAGGACCTCCGCCTCCGATCTCAAGGGGCAGGAGGGCAGATAGGGAAGGCGGCACTCCTTCAGGTATCCAGGACCCAAGCTGTTTAGGGCTTTATAGGTCATCACCAGCATCTTAAATTAGGCCCAGACTTCAATTGGCAGCCAGTGTAACCAACAGAGGTTACACTTAGGGTTGTCCTTAGGACCAACAAGTAATAGACCTTGGGCAATCCTGGAGAGCTTCTCTGGGCAGCAAATGGAAGATTGAATGGAAGCAGTCAGGTACTGCTTCTTTGATGCTCTCACTGACTCCAAATATATTCAAATGTAAGCTCAAACATTACTATTCACTAGGAGTTTTCCTCCATCTGCACTCAATCGTTCCATCACTCTTAGTGCTGGGGTATACCACAGAGCCATACAAGCTCTACTACAGAGAGTGATCTTCCAGATACTCCAGAGTGATCATGTCAACCACCTGGGTAATCTGTATTCCAGAGATCAACCAGAGACTTGACAGGTCCACCAGCCATATCAGCTGGAAAATTCCCCAGAGTCCTCTGGAAATCATCTGGATCCATCAGCCTCTGGGTACAGACCACTGTAATGTGGCTCCCACCCTGCAAAGGGGAAAAATCATCCTGTCTGACCCGCCCATCACAAGATGCAAACACTCCAGATTAGGAGTCAGATGGAGAGGGAACCCTGGAGAGAGATTGAATTCCTACAGACCAAGGCAACACTCTCTCCTCTGCCCCCACTGGCACAGAGAATAACACTATTGAGGTGGGGGGGGGTTACCCTTGTGCTCCCCCTGAAGCAGCATCACCACCTTATGTCAGTCTGGCAGAAAGAGTCCTGCTGCAGCTCAGGCCAGGTGTAGGCAAGTTGTCCATCGAGTCCACAGTAAGCAAGCCTCTTTGCAGGAGTGGGGCCCTGGAGCTAGTCTCGGCAGCGCCTCAGTCTACCCATCCCCAAGATCAGCCAGGAGAGAAAGGCTTATGAGGTGGCAAGCGGGCTTGGGAACAGGCTATGCCAGGTGGGAGAGAGGGCTGGCAAGGTGGTAAAGCTAGCACTTCCACCCTTGCTGAGATAGTGCAGGGCTGTTGTTCAAGGCTGCAATCTCCCGGTCTTTGTGACATGAACTTTTCAAAAGGCTTTTGACCAAGTTCTTCACTAAAGATTTCTGAGCAAACTTTGCAATCACATGAGATAAGATGAAAAAATCTCTTATGGATCAGTACTTGGTTAAAGAATAGAAAGCAGAGTGTACGAATAAATGGGTAGTATTTGCAGAAACCACATTCAGAACCTCAAAATGTCATCATATTTACTCTTCTTCTAGGGAGATACTGGTGTTGGATTGCCTGGCCCTCCTGGACTTCCAGGGCCTCCTGGACCACCTGCTTCATCAAGAGGATTTGTGAGTTTCAGTGTCTCTTAAGAACAGCTCCTCTATTTGCTTGTCTTTTCAATCTTATATTGAAGCTTTGCAACAAACAGCAAATACTTGAGGGAGAGAATGTACGAAAGAAAGGGGCAAGAGAGACATGAGTAGATGTGGACATGAGAAGATGAGGAGGGGAAATAGATGTGATAGTGATGAAAGAAACAGAAATGAGCATATACATAGGTAGCAAATTGAACAGAGAGAGCTGGGTAAGAGATCAACAAAGGTAAGAAGAAATAAGGCTACTAGCAAGTCCCATGATTGGGTAACCAGATGTCAGATACACAGCAAAGGGATTGCCTGAAGGTAAAGCAAGGCAGGGAGTGGTTAGGCCATTGTTCTAAGTTCTTGGGGAGGAGTTGTTTCATCTCCCACTAACTAGCTTTTAAAATTAATATTATTCATTTCAGAGAAGAGTAGAAATAGAAGGCTCTGGATCTGGTGACTTTGGCAGAGATATAGAACTTCCCAGGGTAAGTTGGTACAGATTTTTGTAGATAAATTCCACTTTTCAAATTATACTGTGCATCTGAAGTTGTGAAAGACTGAAAGTTATGTTGGTGGAATCTAAATGTTGCTTTTTCTGAAACACCATAGAGTCAGTAGATATCTTCAGAAGGAAGAACTGCAATCCTGTGCCCATTTCTTTGGGGATTTGTGGGATGTAAGATCCTTGGTTATAGGACTGCATGGGACATTCCTTAATAGTCTGGGCATTGTCTTACAGCCCATTCTATCAAAAGTGTAGTCATGAAAATTCTTACATAGTGTTACCAACTTTTGAGGGCTCCTGTGCTTTAAGACAATTTAAGGAAGGGGAAAATTGGGGAAAAAGTCACTTCATTCTCCATTTTGTAGTGTTGGAAAGGCCCTGGATTTGAAATTCTGGAAGACCTGTAGTTGGTAATTAACATGTTAGTTGATAGATGTTGCTGGACATTAGCATCATATGAGTTGTATGTAAGAAAATGAGATTTAAGGAAAAAAGGCATTGACTTCCCTCACAATACACAGCTTACTTTCATGCCCAGAATGAACAAGTATCACCTGGAATTTCAATCAGGGAAATTCTCTTTGTCCCTGAATTCTAGAATGATTGTACCTCTCCTTTCTCTGAAAACTTCTATGATCACAGAATGCTATTAGATTATGCCCTGGTGTGACCATTTCCAGGGTTATTGACTGTTTTGCCTACAAGTCAAATCTTTGTAGCAAGTTCAAACAAACCTTCTTAAATGGAGGGAATGAGTGGGGTGGAATTGTCTATATTCCACAGACTTTACATCTCTTTGCTAACCCAAAGTAGCTTTCCCTACTCATTATAGTAGCAGTTTTGTGCAATGATGTGTTCAAGTTCTTTACTCCAAGTCTTGAGTCAAGTCTCAAGTCTTTACTTTCAAGTCCAAGTTGAGTCTCAAGTCATTGCAAGAAGTTTTCTAGTCAAGTCTCTTCTCAAGTTTTAAGAGCCAACTTTAACAGGAAAAAAGGAAGGTGGTGGTGGGGTGTGGAGGAATGGGAGAGTTGTGACCCCGCCCCGGTGTTCCATTTGCACTTCTCTCAGTGAAACATTGAGATCTTTTACTTCAAGCATGATTTATTTAAACAAAGCTGTGCTGTTATTCGAATTGATCAAGATTGCAATTTAGAAAAACGATTTTCTTTACTTGACTGGCCTCCAATCTGGTACTAGGGAACAGAATCAGAGGCAGCAGACAGGAGAAGCACTGTTGTGCTTCCAGCCAGCCATGGAGAGCAAAGTGTGCCAAAAATTGCTGAAGCCTTCCCCCTATACAGGTAGTCCCTGGGTTATGAACAAGTTCCATTTCTTGTCAAATTTGTATGTAAGTTGGATCACATGCATAAGGCAAATGTTTGTCTTAGTATATGTATATGTTTTACCTTCTATGCATTATAAAACACTTGAGAAACACTTCCATAGTCACTGAAGCATCTTAAATATAATACAGCATTGTAATTATGATGATAATACAGTAATAATAAAGTAACTACAGGTACTAGAGAGAGTGAATCTGATATGCATGTCTGTAGGTATACAGTAATGTAAAAAAGAGAAAAATAGTTATTAAAAGTTTTCTTTCAAATATATTCAAACACAATATATATAGTTTTCTTTCAAAGAAGAATATTTTTTCAAATCAGTGTCTTATAGAGTTAAGCTAGCTATAAGATATCATTCTTCCATAGATTATATCAGGAGCATGAATATGAATCAATTTGAGCACTTTAAAGTACTTTATGTTGTTGGTTCTTGTTCGTTCATTTTCTGAATATATTTCTGAGTTGCTCTGCTAATGTAAAATAAACCATAAGAATAATAAAATTCCACAGTTCCAAACACAACCAGACCTAAAACAAAATAAGCAGAACTTGCTTGCTTGCTGTCTATAGAATTAAGTAATATTTGCAGACCACCTAATTCTATAGCTAGAATAGGATAGGATCAAGCCTGCCAAATTTTACTCAGACAGGTTCTGGTTCTCTCTTTCTTGCTCTACTGCCATTTCATCATCATTTCATCATCTGTAGTATGAGCCTGCTAATACTGATCTAGCTCCCTTTTAGCATGTGCTGTACAAACAACTCTTGAGGACTACTTCAAAAAAGTGGCTCCAGTGATAACCCCCCACTCCCAGCAGCATAATTAAAGCCTGACTCTCTAGCCCCTGGTCTATCTCCATTAGTTAATGTTAGGCTTAATGTTAACTCATGGATTGGCAAGTTATTAATCAAAACAATAAAACAACAACAGATAAGTAGGGAAAACTGGGTACCTCTGCTCCTGCCACTCCCAGAAGCTGTTTTGTTGTGGTTCTGCTCCATCCTTGAGGCCTTACACCTGCCCTGAAGCACACTGGCTTGGGTACATTTCAGCCAATGATAGGGAACAAAAAGCTGTGAATATCTCTAGGGCCACTGATGACATGTTGTGTAGTTCTCTAGAGATATTCATGTACTTGACTTGGGAGCAACAAGTGAATGACTTGACTTGAGATTTCTGTTATTTTTACAACTGAGTCACTTTTTGGCACAAGGGAGTTCATGGGAGGGAGGGAGGGAGGGAGGGAGGGACAAGGGGTGGGGGCAGGGGAAAGGTAGTTATAGTACAGGTTGTTGTTGTTAGTTGTGAAGTCACGTCCAACCCATCACTACCCCATGGACAACATTCCTCCAGGCCTTCCTGTCCTCCACCATCCCCAAGAGTCCACTTATGCTCACACCGACTACGTCAGTGACTCCATCTAGCCACCCCATTCTCTGATAGTACAGGTAGTCCTCAATAATATAAAATAACGTGTGGACTGCTATAAACCCCATATGAATATCTCTAACGAAAAGTTATGAACACCTCTAGAGAACTATATGATATGCTGTGACACATCATCAGTGGTTGTGTACTTCCCTAGAGATATTCACAGCTCTTTGGAGAGTCCATCCCTTGAAAGCTTGATCACATGCATTTTGCCAACATGGAAAGTTTACTATGTATTTTTCTTATTATCATTTATTGCATTTTTAAAATCAAAGTGTTTCATATGTGCTATTCTAGGAACCTCTTACAATGGGTAAGTATTTAGGGTGGTAACTTATGCATCACCAGAGAAGAGAACATGAAAGGGCATATAATTTGCATGTGCTAATTTATATGGACAAATGCAAATTTAGAACAGATTACTATAATTTATATAGCAATGCAATGTATCTTGGCATCATGGGGAGACTATGAGCTGCTAATGTGTCCGCCTGCTGCTCAGTCTGCTGTCCAGGCACTTACTGTTCTGAGGTCCAAGCTCTCCCTTCTTATGGCTCCTCATATGCCTCCTTAATCTAGATTCAAACTAAAGCACCTTCAAATAGAAAACATTTTCAAACCGAGGACTGTCTTCTGATAGTTCTTCAAATAAAGGATGGTCCTTAGTAAAATAGGACACCTGGCCATCCTACAGTGGTATTATTATCCCCATAATGTGCAGTGTGAGTTTGAGGCTGATAGATATTGGCTTTTGGGGACCATCCAATGAATCCATTTTTGGTGTGACAGCTGCAAAGTTGTATAACAGTATCTCTAATTTGTATAGGGTGCACCTGGCCCACCAGGCCCTCCTGGTTCACCTGGACCTCCAGGAATGCCAGCACCAGATTCAAATGCAGGAGTCCCTGGGTTGCCGGGATCAAATGGGAAAGATGGAGCATCTGGGAATCCAGGCCCTCGTGTAAGTTTTTATTTTATATATGTGTGCTGTTTAGCAGCAAGGCTCATGAGACAGCATTTGCTGTTATGTGCCAGCAAGTCTTCTCCAACTTTTGGTGACCCTATGAATGACAGCCCTCCAAACTGTCATAGCGACATGAAAGCCCTGCTCATCTCTTGTAAATAAGAGACAGCACAGCAAAATGTAACTCTTACTTTTCCCTGCTTCCCAGGAGGAATGACCTAGTGTGGCACTGGGAGGACAAGCTGCTCTGGGTTTCTGCAGAGACATTCAGAGTCATTTGGAGAGTGGCCTCTCTCTTAAGACCAGGAAATGGGAAGTGAACTGAAATATACTAACTTCCAGTAGGCCAGTGTCTCTAGAATGTGAGGCTATGATGCCTTCAGGGAAATGACTGCTCCCCAGGTGAAGTGCGCTGCCACACACCCTTCTTTTTAATCTTAAGTAGGAGTGGTACAGTGATGGTTGCAGGTCCTACCTTCAGGATTGGTGGAGCTCACAGCTGCTTCTCCACATCACTTCCTGGGGTTGGAGCACACACTGCTTGGGTTCTGTATCCTGCTTTATCAGTATCCTGTAAAATTCAGAAGTTACAGCAGGCAAAATCTGTTATTCCTAGGATACACTTGGCCAGTTGGGATGAGATGATGCCTTGCCTTATGAGAGAATGCTTTTCAAGTGCTATGTAATGTACTTGGATTTACTTCCAATTTATTGCAATGGTACTCACTTCTACTGAAATGCACTTAAAGGCCACAGGTTAAAGAGTCTATTTCCTGGGGGGCATTTCCCCCATTTTTAATATTCCTTTTATTTCATTGCTGAAATGCTATTTCAGTATTCTGTAGAATTGCCTGAGGAAGAAATTAGTGGCTTGAATGTAGTCATAGGCTTGAAAAAAACATATTAATTTATCTAATAAGCCAATGCTATTGAGGTTGACACAAAAGGCCATGCTTTCCTCCCATGCTGCTAATTAACATGTTAGGGAAATTAAGACTTTGGCATACAGAAAGGAAACTGCAGCTGTGTGTAAATGAACCCCACCTCCCCTTCCACCTCAAAGCCTGAAAGGATGGCTGGGGTGGGAGTGATTAACACACACACACCCCTCCCCTCCACCCCGACAGCGTGTCTTTCCTGCTGCTTTCCCATAAAACAGCATCCAGGGCAGCTTACAAACATTAAAGAAAGCAATTTTAAGGTAATACATAAAACCATGTAAAAAGATAATAGACCATAATCCCAAATCAGTAAAGCGATGACAGCAGTATTAAAAGCACAGGGTGAACATGGTGACAGACTAAAAAATAGTCATGACAGCATCAGGCACATTTGCATGAGAAACTGCAGCAAAGCCCCCCCCCCCCCCCACCCCTGCTTGGTCAGCTACCCATCTAAAGCTGAAGCCAAGTGTTTCTGAAAAGGATTTGAAGATCTTAATGGGCAGGGGAGAAGGTGTACTGTCCCCAAACAGTTTTACCCTACCTGTGGTCCAAACCCATGTCATATCTATGAGTCTTAGCAAGGGCCAAAACAGTGGAGGCTGGGAGTTTCTGCAGGAAAGTTATTGATGGGGTGGGGTTAAGCACCTCCTGAGGGTACTCTGTAATTGACAAGAGGATGGTCAGGATATGCTATATTTGGCTGCTGTATAATATATGGTTTGCCCCAAGTTTTCTTTCACTAAAGTTTGTCATGAGTAGAATTGTAGAAATTCATTTAAATTCATTTTGATCAGCACTTATCCACTTTGCACCTCCCAAGCCCTACTGTGGACTCAAGCACTATATGCAGTCAAAGTCTGTACCTTGCTGAATTTGCAATGTATTCATGGACCCCCAAAATATACCTACTTTTGAAAAATGCACACAAATGAACCGTATGTCTGGAAAAATGCAAAATGCACACAAATATGCAGAAAAAACCCAAAGATTACAGTGTAGGATGAACATGATATGGAAAGAGCTTTGAGGTAAAAAGTTCTAGTTCTGCTGATCCACATATCCCTTCACATAAATCATAGTGACCTCTGTGCAAACCTGCTTAAGAATCATACAAAGTGATTATAAAAGCAGATTTGCCAACACAGGCGAAACTGCTGTGAGAAAGCTTCCTTTTTGACTGAAATGCTTGGATAAAAACTGCCTTTTCAAACTGTCAGTTTGCAGGTATTATGTCTGATTGCAGAGTTTGTGACTGGAATTTGACTAACATTATAAGAACTAAGCCCTTACAAATTTAATATTCTGATAAATGTAGGGTATTTCATATTGTCATGATTCTGTTTATGAGTAGTGAGACATTTCAGAGGCTCCAGCACCACTCAAGGTCCAGTTTTTGTGGAAGAAGTTCCCAGGAGACTTTCTGGCATGTCTGTCATATAACTTTTATTTACAGAAGACAATTTGTTTTTTTATTGCCAAGTACTTTTGTACCTGCTTCAGAAAAGAAGGAAATTCTACTTTTGTCACAGAAATGTGCTCAAATGGCACTTTCCAAGAAAAATCTGAAAAATCATTGCACTTGATATTACTATTGCTACATTTATATCCTGTCTTTCCCCCTTATGAGGAACCCAACATAGTTGACATAGGGATGCAGCACCCCTTCTTGTGTGCTAAATCTTCACTCAAAATCCCTTCCACCACTGCTTTACAGCTGTTTGCCAGGACCTGTGTTCTGACATGTGTGTTTACAGCTGTAAGAGATGGTTCTGTCTTGGATGCATTCAAGTAACTATTAAGAAGTTGCTATTTGATTAGAATTTTCAGATGATAAGGGTTATATTAATTAGATGGATGTTGCCCCTTAAAAATGGATGTTATGAGCAATTTTTAATGATATACACTTAACAGAAGCTGTCATTTTCAGGGCCCCCCTGGTCATCCTGGACAAAATGGGTCAATTGGTGTTGCTGGAGCCAAGGGTGAAAAAGTAAGTTACAAACTCAAGGGTGCATTGTTCCTATCTTTCTCTCCAGATTTAGGGGTTTCAGATTCTCTGGTCTTGTTAGCAACCCACCATTCTTTGCTTTTGATTTCCAGATTTCATTTAGACTGCCATGCTGGTGCAGTTAGCATCTTTCTTATCCTTCTAAATTACTGATACCATCAGTACCTATGGTTTGAACGCTTTTTAAATTCTGTAATTGTTATTCTGTTATTATAGCATGTTTTATTATTCTGATCTATTTTAAATTGCCTTTCTAAGCTGCTTTAAGTGCTACATTTTTGTAGAAAGGTGGGATCTAAACCAATCAATCAATGAATAAAGAAACCAGGGGTAAAAAATGTGCAGATGTTCTTGAACTGAAGATCCCATCAACTCTCAGCAGCCTAACTGAGTAAAACATAGGCTTGCCTCAAATAATTCTTTTCTCAGCTCATTTTCATCCTCACTTTTTTTGTTTCCTCATCTTTTTCTCAACAGCATTTTGGGGAGGGTGAGATTTGGATCTTCCTCACCTTTTTCTTCAAGAGCTCAGAAAAAATGGTAAAAGATAATGGGATTTAAGGCCACATGTTCCCCAGCTGTCACACAAGCACATTGATTAAACCATTACACAAAAGGAAACTTGATGGAAGAAACCTGTTTTTCTCTTCTCTGTGGCTAATAGCAGGTTTGGGGAAAAGAGAGTAATTTGCCTAACAGTGTAGTGTTAATCTGTCTTCCTCCATACAAGTTCCAAGCCAAATTTTCCCCACTGTCCAGAGCTATTTTTTAAGCAAGCAAATGATGTTGACAGCTCCAGCCTAGCTTGGCCCATCAACCTGATTCTCTACCAGCTACTCTGAACAAATATAAATAATTTTAAAAATCTAAGTATCAGCCAGGGCTGTTTGGGGAGATAGAAGACTGTTCCCTAAGTGTATTTTCCTCATGCAGGGCATGAGCAATCAGATCAGCAGTAAGAAGACACAGCTATTCTGTCTCTGATAATCTTCCCTGTACTGTATATTTAATGAGTGATTAAATTATAGATAGAGTTCTCCAGGCACATGCAAGACTGAATTTTCTCAAAGTATAAGTAGTGCACTATACCAACCACACAACATTGCTACATTATTTAAAGATGTAATATAAAGGTTTGAGCTGTACTTTTTTTCTGAAGGGCATAATGAAGTTTTGTTTACAATCCATGACTGTATGTGTATAATAATTATAATCTGTATAAAATTTGTTTCTCACTGGATCAGTGAGATGTAGGGATTAACCAACTACACCTTGGTGGTCTCAGAATTTCCTTGATAAAGGGCATGTTGCCAGTGTAGAGAGGCACAGCAGAATTATTCCTTCTCAAAAAAGGTGATCTGCTGGGTATCTGAATGAGCCATTCTTCTTGGCATGCCTCTGTATGATCAATTACTCCTATTCTGTGGGTGAAGAATTCTGTCTAGGGCTACAGGCAAAGGTAATGTTTTCAGAACATTTTCTCTACCTATCACGGTTTCAGTGATTGCAGTCTCCATTCTGCAGCAATAGCACCACAAAAATAATTTAAGATTAAAGAAGCATTCTTTTGGGAAAACCTTGCCACAGGGCAAAATCTTTAGAAAGATGTTAGCCTGTTGTGTTTTTGTATACAATTATAACATATCTTTTAAAAAAATTAACTCACTATGCCTCATTTGCTTGCATTCATATACCAGTATTTGCTGCTTCCAAAGCCTCTTTACTCTATAGCTGTTTTATTGTATTTTACAGGGTGACCAAGGTATTCAGGGGTCAGTTGGACCAAAGGTAATTGACAAAATACGTTTAATAACTTCCTAGTTATTACTGGTAAACCCTGGCTGCACTGGAAATATTTATTACATGGCTAAGATTTTGCTTACAAAACCACTCCTGGTTTAATCTATGCAGAGCTTTCTTCCACTGCACCATTATTTTACACTTCCCTGAAAATTGAATGTGATTTCAGTGCATAGAGCTCCAGTTATTCATGTTCAACCCACAGTCAAGCAAGGAGTATCTCAAGTTCTTTGGAGCTAACAAAAATAATGCAGGGCCAACCAACTTTTCTAGCTCAAACAGACTGCAGAAAATGGTTGCTACTTAGTATAAGCCTGGAGAGGGAAGCCTGTTTTCCCCCATTTTAAAAGGTCAAAATGCCTCTTCTGCGGCTCAGTTACTGGCAGTAAGCTTTTTTAAAAAAGCTAACCTATGCTGGCATTTTGGCCTCACCCCCTTTGCCTTCCACTGGAATGTGGCCCCTTAGAGCTGCTCTGAAGTAGAATTTGGCCCTCAGGTCAAAATGTTCTGTACTTCTGCCATATGCTTTTGGCTTCAAATTCATTTTTACAATGATGGGCTCAGCATTGTCAGTTGAGGTCAAAGCCATGCTTTATTATTTCTTCTTCTACCAATACTACTACTTTCTCATCATCATCATCTTTTTAATAGAGTGTTTCAAGCCAATTTAATTTTTCACGTGAACCTTGCCTTCTATCCAGGAAAGATGCTTAGTCCCTTAATGCTGTACAGGACAGGCTACCACTGCTCAATGATGAAGCAAATGGCTTTTGTAGATGTTCAAAGTTGTTATAAATATCAATTTCATATCTACTTTTTAAAGATGGAACTGGGCAAAAAATGGGAGGCAATGGTCTCAAATGAATTGGCTAAATTGCACTGTAACTACAGGGAAGAGATTCCTTCCAACCTAGTTATACAAGGTTTCTTCATCTTAATACTACGGATTTACATCATGCAATGTAAAATAATCTATTTTCTCTCTCAGGGAGACCCTGGGGATATTGGATTGCCAGGCCCAAAAGGGCAAGCAGGAGCTGATGGGGCAACTGGGAAACCTGGGCCCCCAGGGCCACCTGGGCCAGGCTATGGCTATGGATTTGAGGTAATCTGTTTAAATGGAGTTAACTGGCTTACAAGTTCAGAGGGGAAATATGCCAGTCATGTTTGTGTTTCTCAGTGCAGTAAAAAAAGCACAGAATGCTTTGACTAGATCACATTTCTACTTAAACCAGGTAACCTCTTTTGAGTTTATTTTATTTGTCCTTCCAGCTAACCCATTCACAATTCTGCACAAGTCATATTAATTACCAAAATGAACAGTATGGAGAGATTCTTGAGTTGACTATTCCATCATCTTAACTGTCAGAGGTGCTCTATTATAAATCAGAGGCAGTGAATACTTTGTTTTCAAGGGTAAAAGGTTTTTTTAAACAAGCAAATGATGTGCAAAATTGTCTTAGATTTACCCTGACAGCTGTTGATTTGCATTAAAAATGAGTTTAATAAATGTGAGGGCTGCCATGGAACACCTACCCTTAGTGATTTATTCAGTTCAAAAAATTTTGTACTTCTGTGATGCTTGCAAGGAAAAGCGCACTGGTTCTCCTCTTTAGAGTATATAGTCATACGTTCATGGGAATGGTGGCTGGATCTTTTTGTGGGCATGCATCCATTTCAAAAATGCATTGCTGGAAGAAATGGAAAAGGAACTATCAAGCAAGCTACAACATCAAATGGAACAGAGTTTGCAAGTAATTAGTGGCAGGCCAGCTGAGCCACCTTTCCATGCAGAGTCCATGCAGACATACCTGGAAGGAGGAATTGGCTTCCGTCTTCAATAATGATGGGAGAGTTTCCTCCAAGCTTGTCTCAAATAATTCTTTCCTCATCTCATCTTTTGATTTCCTTATCTTTTTTCTTAACAGGATTTTCAGATGGGTGGGATTTGGATCTTCCTTACCTTTTTCTTATAGAGCTCAGTAAAAGCTTGTCCAGGGAGAGCTGTGTCTCTGTTTCCCCCACCCCCTCTTCTAAGCAAACTGTGGGCAGCCTGCCTAAAGCATGGGCAGAAGGACAAAAAGAAAATCAGCCCTGGGGTCAAAGGTGTCATTTGAGGAGTGCAAATGAACAAGGCAGTGTATTTCCTAACTCAACCATCAACTAGTGGAGGTATGCATGGTGTTCCAGAAGGGTTGAAAGTAGAAATTCTTCCTTTAGTCTAGCCTGCACCTGCTATACTGTAATTTAAGTTCATTGTTTCATGTTCTACAACCTGAGTGAGACTATGTGTTTTCCTTCTTCTTTGTTATAGCCTTTGAGGTACCTGTAGAGTGCTAGCATGTCACCTTGTAGCCTATTTTTCTTCAGGATGAACAGGCCTGTTCTTTCATTCTCTCATCAAAAGACATATTTTCCAGGCCCTGTATCATTTTTGCTGCCCTCCTGAACCCTCTCCAGATTATCAGCATCCTGTTTAAACTTGGGTGCCCAAAACTGAATACTGTATTCCATGTGAGGTCTGACCAATGCAGAGTAGAGAGGATAAGTATTTCTCTATTTCTGGAAGTGATGCCTCTGTTTATGCATCCCCAAATAGTATTTGCCTTTTTTGTGGCTGCATCACACAGCTGGCTTCTGTTTAGCCAACAACTCCAAGAGCTCTTTCACTCCCAGTACTGTTGAGCCAAGCGTTCCCCATTTTGTATTGATGCAGCTGATTTGTGTTGCCTAGATGAAGAACTTAGCATTTGTCTCCACTGAATTGCATTGTTGTTTTCTACCCTGCATTCAAGCTTGGCTAGGTCTCCCTGCATCTTTTTGTCTTCCAGGGAGTTAGTTATTTCACCCAGTTTTGTATTAACTGCAAATTTAATTATCATTCCCTGGATTTCTTCATCAAGACCATTAAGAAAAATGTTGAAGAATACTGGTCCCAGGACTGAGCCCCCTGGTACCCCACTCCAACTTCACTCCAAGATGAGAAGCTACCATTGATGATCACTTTCTGTGACCTATTTTGAATCCAGTTGTGGATCCACCTAATGGTAGTTCTGCCAAGCCCACATTTTGCTAATTTGTTTATTAGGATGTCTTGGGGCATGTCGTCCTTCCCAACAAAAGCAACAAGCCCGGTTACTGCTACTAAACTCTTTATTCCACACAGAGCTAACAATTACAGATATGGATGATGATGATGATAATGATGATGATGCTAGTGATGATGATGAAGTTGTCCTCTCTTTCTGAATGGGATTAGTTCATGGAATACTTTTAACTCTCCTCTGCCGTCCCTCAGTGGGCAGGTCTGAGAGACTCCTCTCTTTGTCGGTCCAACAGTCTCATCTTTAACTTCCCCATCTATGTGTGCGTCTGCGGGAGTGCGCATCTTCTAATGGCCCTTCAAGGCTAACTCCTGTGTTCTCAGCACTCTTTATCTGCAGGTACTGCAACCGTCCCCTCGGCAACCTCTAGGTCGGCCTCTGATTGCCATATGCTTTTGGCTTTCGATTTCCTCCTGAATCCCCCTCCCTCTGTGCTCTCATCCCTTAGGAGAGTGTGGGGGTATTTGAATTATAGGCACCAAATACACATCTTGCTGTAATGAAGTCTCTCTCTCTCTCTCTCTCTCTCTCTCTCTCTCTCTCTCTCTCTCTCTCTCTCGCCAAAGACTCCTCTGAGTCAGCACGCACGGCACTACGCCCCCCTCACAACTCCCTCTCCCCCATCAAGGTAATGGGCACTTCCTGCCCTGCTTGTGGGGAAAGTGAGAGTGCCAATTTGCGAGAAGGCGCTGAAACCAACAGGAACTCAGTGGACAACCACACCCAGTCCCCTACTCATAGTGGTGGTCCTGGCTGACGGTGCGTGTCAGCCACTGACCTATAAGCGGGCTTGGCTCATTCCAATTGCTCACTGAGCAGTGCCTGGGCCGAGAGCAATTTGTGAAGAAATTCTCCCACTGCTGGCACTGAGGCAGACGGAAGAACACTGGAAAAAGCACAAGGGTGATAGCCCAAGTTTGCAAAGAAAGGAGTCTGCTGGGTGGAGGCATGCACTGAATTGTTGTAAGCAAATTCAGCAAGGGGGAGGAAGGCAGCCCAGTTGTCCTGTTGATAGTTCACATAGCAACTGAGGTACTGCTGCAGTGTTGTTTTTAGCCATTCTGATTGTCCGTCTGTTTGGGGGGGGGGGGGGTGCTGAGGACAATCATAAGTCTACTCTGAGTAAGGAGAGAAGTTCTCTCCAGAGCCTGGAGGTGAACTGGGCTCCCAGAACTGAAATTAATGCAAGGGGCCACCCGTGTTGTCTATAAATAAAGTTCACAAACAGGGAGGCTGTGGCCTTGGTGGTGGGAAGCTCCATACAAGGAATAAAATGAGCCATCTTGGTAACCAGGCCTGTTACAACTAAAATGGTGGTAAAACCCTTGGAGGGTGGTAAATCAGTAATGAAATCTAAAGAGACAGTGTACCAGGGACCAGGGGGTATAGGCAGGAGCTGTAGTAACCCAACTGGCTTGCTGTTTGGCCCGCTGACAGGTGTGACAGGACTGAACATAAGATTTGACATCATTACTTACTCGAGGCCACCAAAATTCCTTGGTAACTGCATGCAAAGTCTTATAAACCCCAAAATGAACAGTAGAGGGAGCATCATGACACTGCCATAAGACACGTTCCCTAAGTGGAAGAGGTACATATACAGTGTGGTTACAAAACAAGCCATTCTCAAAACAAAATACAGAAGACAGCGTGCCTGCATCCTGATCCCCCAGTTTGGCCCTTACAAAGGCATCAGTCTGTTGCGCCTGGCGGAGGTCATCCAGCCATGAGGCCGAGGTGGTGACTGCTGCCAGTGACTCTGGGCACAAGCTCAGTGCTGGCTCGGGGTGTGTGCCACCACTCTCAAAATACTCCGGTTTCCTTGACAATACATCTGCCAGGAGATTCTTGGAGGGCAGAATATACTCTATGTTAAAACAAAAGTGCCCAAAAAACAACACCCACCACGCTTGCCTCTGAGAAGTTTGGCAGAGGTAAAGTGGACCAAGTTTTTGTGGTCAGTTTGAATGAGCAGTGGATGCATGGCACCTTCCAGCAAGTGTCTCCACTCCTCTAGGGCCACCTTAATTACCAACAGTTCCTCTTCCCAGTTGGTGTAGTTATGTTCAGAGGAGGTGAGCTTACGTGAATAAAAAGTGACAGGTCTGAGCTCACCATGTACCCCCGCTTCCCATTGTAAAAGGACTGCCCCCACAGCCCTGTCTGAGACATCTGTTTGCAACACAAAAGGAGCAGCAATATCAGGATGGATCAATTGATCTTCAGAAGCAAACTGTCACTTTAAGGCTTCAAAAGCCTCCTCTGCCTCAGGGGACCAGCAAAGGCATCTCTTTTTTTAGGAGGTCAGTTAAAGGGGCAGTTAGGTGAGAGTAATTTGGGATGAACTTGCAATAAAAATTGGTAAAGCCTAAGAATTTTTGCAGCTCCCACACTGTACGAGGCAGTTTCCAGGAGAGCACAGTTTGCACCTTGTCTGGGTCCATTTTTAAACCAGCCTGGGAAATTTGATATCCCAAATACATTAAGGTGGTGGTGTGAAATTCACATTTTTCTAGCTTTGCTGAAAGGTGCTTCTCCCTCATCCTCTGCAAGACTGCTCTCACATGCTGTATGAGTCTCAGGGTCCTGGGAGAAAATCAACAAATGGTCCAAGTATGCGATCAGAAAATCATCCAAAAAATCATGGAAAATTTAATTTATTAACCATGTAAACACTGTGCCTACTCCTGCTAGCCCAAAAGGTACAATTTTGAATTTGAAATTTCCATAGCAGCTTGCAAAACTGGTATACCGTTCAAAGCCAGGCCGTTTTCTGAGATTATAGGCATTTCTGAGATCTAACTTGGTGAAAATGTATGCCTGCCCCAACCGCTCTAGCATCTCTGAGATCAGAGGCATGGAATGTGTATTGAGGATGGTAATTAAGTTCAGACAAATTCTAGGTTCATTAGAATTACACTTAGGAATAATTAAAGGAGTGGCTGATGTGGGAGATGAGGATGGCTGGATGAAGCCTTTTTTCAAATTAGTGGAGATAAAC